AGGGGTGAAACAAATCAAATAGCTATCTATATTCTGTATCAAAAATTGCAATATACCTTCAATAAAAAACTCTGGACTAGTGCAGACAAATCAATTTTGCTATAAAAATTTGCTTATGGATATCGACCAACATTGATATTGTCTCTAATGAAAAACCCTGGACTAGCAACCTGTGTTTTGTCAACTTATAGCCAGGAATATAGCAGCAATGTATATCATGTGACTCCAGTGGGAAATCCTGAACTAGTGCAAGCAAACTATGTTGTCAAAATGCTATTTACAGCTATCAATATTTCGATATTGCTTTCAGTGGGAAACCTTGAACTAGTAACTGAAATTTTTGTCGATTGCCATGTTTACATGCATGTTTATTGGGCTTTGACTGTATAAGTCTAGCCATTGCAAGCAGTGCAGTCGACAAGCAAACATCGAAATATATTAAGCTGTCGATTATTTATATTTTATATGGCAAGGTACTATATATACATATTAAATTGTTTTTTTTTATCTTTTTTAGAAATCTTTGCCACTGCCTTGCATTTTCTTGTATCACAAAAAAGTGATGACCAAATAAAATATACTTCTTTTTTAAATAATCTTATCCATAACTTGTTAAGTGTTCGCCTGGCTATTTCTGATTTTACTGTCGATTCTTACCAAAATATAAATATATTGAAAATATTTGTATACATTTTTAAATTTATTAATAATGAAATAAAAAATAGGAAAATTGATAGATAGATTTTTTGAGATTCCTTAATTATTGTAAAGGAGATATAAAAACCAATGCCGATGCTTTGAAAAATGATATTGTCAATACAAAAAAAAATAAAAAAAAAATTTATAAAAATTTTGTAAGTTTAAATTTTTACATGTTTTTTTAAAACCAGTATTAATTTAATTACATTATATTGGCAGGTTAGAGAAAATCTCTTAACTCAAAATTATCTTGACGAAGTACATTCTGTAAAAACTATATTTTTGGATCCTGTTCCTGGTTATGATAAGAAAAAAAAAAGAAAAGTGGATTTATAAAAAACAAAATCTCCTGCCTCACCATAAACCTGCAATTGATGTTGCCTCCTATATTATAAAGACGATAAAAAAAACGAAGAAATAATAGTTCGTGACAAGACCTCAAATAAAGTAATACTTGCTGTATACTAAAACTGAATTGACTCTAATGTACTTGAACTTATAAGAAACACAATTGCCAATATGTTTGTTTTATGACGACAAGTTGTCTGATCATCTGAAATAAAAAAACTGGACCAAGATGCTTTAACAGCATCAGGATATGTTATATTAAATAAAATTATTTTTAATTTTTTAAATTTTATTAACATATAAATACTTGCAGATACCTTTCGACAAGAGAAAATAGAATTTTTACACATGTTTACAACATATCTGTTGAATTGCAAGGATCTGAAAGACAATATTTGCAAGAAGAAAATGTTATAGCAATGAACAGCTTTTTTTTTAACTATGCCATAAATATATTTTCCAAGGATGTGACTTCAAGTATCCAAAAAAAAATTCAAAGAATTTGACCTTTCCCGATTGGATAACAACCAGTATAGTGCTGTTGATAAAGGAATTATGATTTCTTGTAATGGCAAAAAAATTTTTTTAAACCATTCTTTAGGTCTTTGTGAGGCATATATAGTCTGGAGATATAGTAAGTTTGCACATATCGATACTAATTTTTAGAACATGCAATTGCAGCAACCTGTTTGAGAGAAATACAACCTGCCAATAGTAGCGAATTCGATTGTCAGGAAGGAGATTTTGATAGTAGTAATTTTTATCTAGTCAAATAGGAAATTAAAGTAGAAATTACAGGTATTTTAAAAAAAATATTAAATTTTTAAAAATTTAAAGTATTGCCAATTTAAATTTTTAATATTTTTTTAGGAAATACTTTTTACTATTGGCCAGAAGATGAATTGCATGGCACTACAGTCTTGCCGATAGAGGGTGTAACTTGTGAACTGTCACAAAATTTAGTCAAAAAAACAGTAACAGCTGTAAAAAAAATGGAGAAAAGAAAAAGAAGAAAAATATTGTGTCAATTACTGACATAACCAATTATCGACAGATTCTTATACTTTGCAAGCTCTTAAAAATTCAATAAAAAAAAATAGTAAAAAAAACAATACTAATTATGAAGGGACATATATAAATATAGAAAACAATAACTGATCATGAATAGATCAGTAATTTATATTTATATTTAAAAATAAAAAATTTTCAATTAACAATCTTTAAATTAAATTAAAGTTAATATGTTATAATAAAAATTACTATTGATAAAATAATCAAATCGGATATAAATCGAATCAAGTAAAATTAGATTTGAACCAGATTTGAATCAAATTGAATCAAGCTATATTATATCCGATTTGAATTGTATATCTAAAAACGAATCAAATCGAATTTAGCTAAAATCTGATCTGATTCGATCCATTGCGATCCCTATCGATAATGATAAAGAAAAAAGAAAAGTTTCTTTAAAGAAAAAATAACTTAATAAGAAGCCAGAAACTTGTCTCATTAAAATTTTCTAAAAATGAAGTTTTTCAAAAAAATGAGAGAAATGGAAAAGAGTTTTACAAAATAATATTTTTATAATTTAACTTATATAATTTATCATATTAAAAATATTATAATTTAATTTAATATTCATAGTAGTTGTTATACAAATTAAGTTTTTTATTTCTTTTGCTATTATACAGTATATCTCCAAATAATCAATGAACCTCCATTACATTTATAGTCAGTATTATATGATTTTTCTGAAACAATAAATTTGATTTTCTATATTTAATCAAAAACAATTGATTTTAGTTTTATTTGAAATTTTTTTTTAATTTTTAATTATCTAATCTTTATATATTATTGCAAAATTCAATCTTTGTTTTTTATTGTATGGTTTAAAAAAGGTTTCTTTTTTGGTAATTGATTTTATTTTATTTTTTTAAATATACAGTATTATGGACCATTGGTATAACATTAATGTTATAATATGTTTTAAGGTATTTATGAACATTTATGGACATGTTGCTTGCTATAAGCATATTAAATGCATCATACAACATTTTTATTTATTTCAATAATATATATGACCAGCTAAAGGTTTGATATATCAGGAGACATATTTTTATGAATTCTTGATACAGTGCTATGACCAATGCCAAGCTGGGTATTGATTTTCTTGTAGATAAGCCATGATAATAATAACATTATGTTTTTGTTTAGAAAGATGTTCATTATTTAAAAATAGTGTGTAATCGACAAAAAAACGACAAATTGATGTTCTTTATAGTAAAATATTTATAAATAATTATCGCCAAAAAATTGTATCGATGTATATTATCAACTTTAATTAACTATTTTCTAACAATAATTATAACAACTTAAATTAATTCTACACTATTTAAAAGGTTAAATAAATATGCATCTATAGTTAAATTTATTGCCTTTTAACCTAATCGTTCAAAAGATATATACTGTAATAAAAAAGTTTGAATTGTTGGGACAATTTTTTGTACTATAGATTTTTTAGTACCCAGTTTTGTTTATATTAAACAGCTTTTAAATACAATTTTATTATAGAGTATTGTGCATGTCAATTTAGAATTTGTAGATGTTCATTTTCCAGTCAGTTTAGTAAGCCACGCATTTTTAATAAGAAATCCAAAACTTCGGTTCGATAATAAAATCGGATATTCACATACGGTATTGACATAAAACATCCTTTGAATGGGTTTAATATATTCTATTCATAGTCAAATATTATCACAAAAAAATTATTTAAAAAGTTAACAACAATATCTTTAAGAGTAACTAGAGTCTTAGTGTTAATAATAATATAAAAGTGTATAAACAGATAAGAGAAAAATAATGCGGCACAGGTGAAGTCTATCGAAACAGCCATTACAACGAGGTTAACTTCTTATCAATTTTTTTGTTGATCAAAATCCGTAATTATACCTTTTTGGTTCTTTACAAATAGAATGTTTCCTGTATGAAGATCTTTATGCATTAATCCAGCATTGTGAAGATCTGATAATCCACGAGCAATAGTATATAAACTGTATATTTTGTCTTTAAAATTTAACTTACTATCTAAGTTGCTTCTAATGGTGCCATTTTCTATATAATTCAAAACAATTATATAATTTTTTGTATTGGGATCTCTGCTTACACCATAAAAACGAATGGTATCTCCAAATCGATTACAATAAGAATAAGACATGATCTAATAATACGGTTAAATTGTATAAAACATTTACAATACGTAAATTATTGAAAGTGTCAATGATAAATTACCTCTTTTATGCCACAGGGTTTATAAAAAAATTTCAGAACTACTTCGGTATTTCTTGATCGGATCCATTTTTTAGCCTCTTTATTCCATTTCTCAATAAACCCTTCAGGCCAATCAGCAAAAAATAATTTTGCATAACCACCTCTGTCAAGATATGTTACGTTTTTAAATTTTGAATATGGTATCCATTCCATAATTTCATGATTGCTGGTCGCATGTAATTGTGATCTTTGAATTAATCTATCTAGAATGTCACTTCCACTAGTCCATTTGTTAAATTCTTCGTACAAATGAACGCTATTACATGGTTGACACCAATTCCATCCAGCATTTTCACTTTTGCATTCATTACATATTCCCCATTTGATATTGATTTCTAACAACAATATTAGTATGTTATATTAAGAAATAATTGTAAAAACAGTGCATAACTAACCATTAGAGCGTATACTATAATCTTCATGGGTGCTGTCGCTTAAGGATAATTCAGCTTAAATGTTGTTTTAAATGTCAGTACCTATTTTTAAAATTAGCTTTATAAATGATATAAAATCATCATAGCTTACCTTCGACACCTATTTTTTTGCAATAGTAAGCTGTATAATATTTTTTCCAGGTTGTCAATATTTCATTAATTGATTAAAAAGTGTCATTGTTACTATAATTATCATTTACCGTTGAATTCATCTGTAGATACAGTAAATTACGTAAAAAAATCATCTGGATATGCAAAAATCATAGCTTTTTTAATGACAAATTCTGTACCTGTATTTATACCTTTCGGTTTAGGCAAATTGCTAAAAGTATGATACCGACTAAAGTGTAAGCTCAGGAGTAGAGTATTATTCAAAAAAGCGCCCAAAAAATCCATTTGACCTTGATTGTTGTTTTTTTCTTGATCAATGTCCGGACTATCTTTTTTAATATTGGATATTGTCGTATAAATTTCTCTTGTATTTGGCCTCTTCTCTGGATCATCATCCCAGCATTTCTGCATCAGATCTTTATAGTCCGAAGGCACATCTTGTTGCACATATGGTCTTATTCCCCTTATTATGTCTATTATAAGATTTTTTTCGTATTTTAATCCATAAAATGGGGGTTGTCCGGATGATATTTCCCACATTAACATTCCGAGACTATAAATATTGGACTTTAATGTTGACGACTCTCCACGTAAAACCTCGGGCGCAAGGTAAGGAATAGGACCATAAATCCCATCAATCAACTCGTTTTTAGCTAATGTTAATCCCATATGATTAATATACCACCTTTTTTCAGTGCCAAGTGTGATGATATCTGAATGCAAATGTTTAAGTGCAATTTGTTCCTTGTGTAGCTCATCCAAGTTATTTACTATGTCCAATACGATATTTAGTTTATCTTTCAAACTAAGTATCGAATGATTGTTAGGTAAAAATTGGCGCAGATCAGTATCCATGTATTTTAAGACTAACATCAACTGTTGAGAATTGGATTCCTTTGTTAGCCCATAAAAAGGTATAACAAATTGAGAGAATAAATTTATTTGTAAACGCCAATGTGTTTCGACCTAATCAAATGGATTAATATACTCTTTATAAATAAAATTATTTTAAAATATTGCGAATATTTCAATATAGTGATTCTCACTTGCTGATTCCATCCATCTTTAAGTGTTATAAGCATTACTTTATGATTTCCGGTCCTTTCTAACGTTTTATTATGATTGTTCCATTTTATAATGGGCCCGTCAATCCAATTGGCTACATAAATTAATCCAAAGCATTCGTGGATTTTACGTTCTATATCATAAAATTTGTCAGAGGGAATCCATTCGATAACTTTATTAGGCGATGTAAGAGTTCTTTGTGAATTCTGAATGAATTTATCATATTCTTCAAATCCTGATGTCCAACGTCCAAAATTTGATTCAAAAAACTCTCTACAGCATTGCTCACAATAGTTGCTTCTAGCACTCCAACTTAAGCAACTTTCGCACTGATATTCGTTTTCATTGTTAGAAATATCAAATTCATCAACGTTCTGCTGAAGCTTGTCGAGAAGATAAGACCTTTCGGCATTGTTAAGTGTCAAATCATCTAGAAAGCATTGTCTCATAAATTCACTTTGTTCGTTTGCTCCTTTATGAATGTCAGTATCAAACGAAATCACTGCTTTTCCAAAGGACTCATTGACTACATCTTGGCGAATCACGTTTTCGCTGTTATTATACATATTTTTCGTTTAATTGGAACTTTTGTGTCGTATTCTAAGTACAAATATAAATATGACACAATCGATTCGACAGTTATACACGTATTACAGTATTATCGAAAATATTTGACCGTTTACTGCAGTGCATCGTTGTACTACTGTAGTGTTCAGATGGACTAAAATACCTTGTCATAGCTTTATTGGAAAACGATTTATTTAACCAATCATAAGCTTTTTATTAGCGACCGAGACGAAGTCACGGGAGCTAGATTATCGCGAGAGATCATGTAACACAGTGAATGAGGTAATGTGCTGGTAAAACAATTTAAGAATGATGTATTACGATGATTGTGCTTTCTTTCTGTTGTGGCCCGAAAAGATTATTTTTTCCGGCTTATTCGAGGTCCCTCCCTCCCGCCCACTCAACACTATGCGTTGCTCGATTATACTGTTGAAATGAGCTGTGCAGACTCCACACCATTTAAATTTGAGTAGTAAGATGGTTGTTTAAAACGAGCTGTGTAAACCCCACACCATTTGAATGAGTGTAAGGAGATGGTTATTGAAAACGAGCTGTGTAAACCCCACACCGTTAAATTTGAATAGAAGATGGCTGTGTAAACCCCGCATCATCGAAGTTGAGAATGGCATTGTCATGGTTTAAGGGAATCAGCAAACTCGGCATTGAGAATTGGCTGCGTAAACCCCGCACGATCGAAGAAAATTTGGACAGTTACGAACACAGCGCATTATAGTTTAATGAAATACGTTTGTTAGGTGAATATTGATAAGAGCATGAAGGCGTCATACTCGCATGTATAGGATAGAATATTGATATGTTGTCGCTAAACCAGATAGAAGGCTATACCCCATAGTGACTAATAAAAATATATTTTTATGCTTGATATGCCAAATGGATCTCGAGCGAGAATAATTTACAGGCGTAGCATAGCAAAAATATATTGATGTTTTAATGTAACAAAGAGATTTGAGGTTTTTATTCTACTTTGCTTAATTAAATTTCTCTATCGGTTTACTTCTTGCAAACGGATAATGATATATTTTTAAATTGAACTTCGAATTTCTATATAATGACTGAATTGTGTTGTATTCAACATTTTAAAAATTCGATAGTCGCGATATGTGCAATCTTTATACAGTACTGCTGCCGGATCAGATCGCAAGCTGATCATTAGAGGCGTTGAACGGAGGTGTAATTAATTTTGGTTGAGGTTATCAGTAATAATATAGTAAATATTCTTGATAAATTATATATTTTTAATAAATCTTTTGTATACTTCTTTTTCCACTTATTTGTTATACAGTATGGATCAAAAATAATTGGAAAAAATCAAAACTCATATTTTATTCATAATTTAATAAATAATTAAATAA